GGGTCTTCAACTAATACTGCAGAGGAAATTGATGAGCCCAGGTGAGCTGACTCCCTGCAAACAGTCTTTCCTGAGCCAATGTACAGGGAGCTTTGGTAATGAAACTGTGGCTACAGTGCAGACCCCAGGAAGATGGAGATCCCAACCATAGGTAGCACTTGGCAAGAGAAGCTGTAGCCAGTAAGAAAACTAGTCCTAGAGAGTGACAATATTTGCTTTGGAGATGTTCATACTCTTGGGAGTTTATATTTTGGTTCAGTGCATAGAGAAGCCATATGTGAACATTTATTATGTGATAGTTTGGTCTTGTATTTTCTTTATATCACCTAATACTTTCTCGATTAGGGTAATGCATTTGTGCAGCTTATTTTAAAACGTAATGTATAATTAAGAAATATAGGTTAATAGAGAGTCATATGTAATAATCTAACTTGTAGTCACATTAGTTAGGTTTTCTAGATTATAGAGATATATTTCAGATAAATAGATATTATTCAGATCTTTAAAATACTACACAATATGGCATATAAAATGTTTTAAGAACTGAAGAATTTTCATGACAATGAGACACATTTGCTCCTGGCAGCACCAGTTACTTCAAAAGGAAGATGGGCACAAAAAATAAAAAAGGCTGCTTATGGAGATTGTGAGCCGTATGGGAAAGAAACTGCTCTTGCCTGGGCTACTTAATGTTATGCTATATTAATTGGACTTGCAGGACCTACAGAAAAATGACTGCTCAAGCTGCCTAAAGAAGGTGAGACAGTCCATTGGGGTTCCTGATTCATGAAAGACTCTGATAGATATTCTGCAAGACACAAAAGAAAGTGACAGACAAACTACCAATATAGGCAGAACTGTCTGAAATTTTCTGCTTCATGGAAAAGTCTGCTAGATACTATGGGTCAGTAGGCTGGAGTGGGTACCCTCAATGTTACAGAACTTTAGGTTCAGGCAGTGATGTGTCTCTGTCATTTCTAGAGTTTTAGAAGTTGCTTACAATGCACTTCCTGTGTACTTAAGTAATATTATATCCTTCAAGAGTCTTTGATGGAGTTGAAGAATAGATATAGTTTTTCTTAGTTATGATAAAAGATAAAGTATATATAAATCTCATAACTGTAATCTTTCCTTGATACCTGTTTTGTTATATGTAATTTTACTATGTTAAATTTAAAACCTTCCCTTTTATTTAAACAGAAAAGGGGAAAGGTTGTCAGAAATCCTTCTGTGTATGAAGCTGCTTTTGCCCAAAGATGTAACAGAATATAATCAGAGAGAGAGAGAGAGAGAGAGAGAGAGAGAGAGAGAGAGAGAGAGAGAGTAGGCAGAGTCAATTAGAAGTCATGTAGATATCTACAGGAGACAGACACACCAAACCTTGCCAGTAAGCCATAGCTACATGATGATACACAGATTAATAGAAATGGATTAACTTAAGATATAAGAGCTAGCTAGCAATATGCTTAAGTGATTGTCCAAGTAGTTATTTAAATAGTATAGTTTCTGTGCGACTAATTTGAGTCTAAACAGCCTCAGTCAATAAATGTCAATTCTAGAGTTTTGGAAATTGCTTACAATGCAGTTCCTGTTAACTTAGTTAATATTATATCCTTCTGCAGTCTTTAATGGAATTGAAGAATAGATAGTTATAGTTTTCCTTAGGTATGATAAAAGATAATGTAGATATAAATATTGTAACTATAATTCTTGCTTGAATCTTGTTATATGTAATTTTACTATGTTAAAGTGAGAACCTTCCATTTTATTTAGACAGAAAAGGGAAAATGGTGTGGGAAGTCCTCTGGTAAGTGCTGCTTTTATTGGCTAGTAAAACAGCTAATTTGGCCAATGGCTTAAGAGAGTATAGCCAGACAAGAAAAGATATATAGAGAGAGTATGCAGAATCAGTGAGGTGCCATGTGGCAGCCAGAGGAGAAAGACACTCACATGCTGGTACTGGTAAACCATGAGCCTCGTGGAAAAATATAAAATAATAGGCATGGGTTAATTTAAGATATAAGAGCTAAACAATAAGAAACATGAACTAATAGGCTAAGCAGTGTTGTAATAATACAGTTTCTATGTGATTAGCAGCCTCTGCCTATAACAAATAAAGGATTTTACTTAATCTATTACTTTTCCAAAATGTTTAGAATATTCCAAAGTCATATAAAATTAGATGGAAGAGGAGAATGTTTACATCTCTATATCTCTTGGCATAGGACACTATAAGGAATAAATATGTCACAAACTCAGAGTAGAAGTACAAAATCAGGTGCCAAACTTCATGTTTTCAAAAGGGTTTCAGAGAAAGTTGTTTGCAAAATTGCACTTATGAATACATAGAGCTTGAAGGCAATTGTTAACTTAATTGACAAATTCAATCTCCGTTAGCACAAATACAACCCATCATTATGCTTGACGTAGCTCACTTAAGGTTAAAAGTATTTTTTAGTGCTTTCATTAGCATATGTGCCAATAATGGGTTTTATTATGACATTTTCATAGATGTATACATATATTTTAATGATGTTCACACTGTTAATTTCTTTTCCCCACTCATTGCTAATAATTTCCTTCTTTCTTCAAAGCCCCTTTCTACTCTAATGTCTTTTTTCTTTTATGATGCACCATTGTCATTAGGGTTGCTTAAAGAAACATAGGTGAGATTTTGCACACTGTTAGGTACACTTCTGCAACAGAAATCTCTCTCTTTTATTTATTGATCCTAATTGCATATAAATCTTCAGGGAAGGATTGGCTTCAATATGCCACTGCCCCTTCAGTGATGAACGTTGACATGTCCAATATTGTGCGAATCATGGGAAGTTAATCATAGCTTCTGTGAGTTCAAGAATACAATGGTCGTGTTATGCCAGAAAGTCAGTGTTCCACACCTCTCTTTTCACATTTGTTTTGTCATTTCCAAGATAATCCTTGAGCTTTGGCAGTGATGATATAGATGTTCATTTTAGGGATGGATTTTTCAATTGCAATTTATTTTTAGTATTTTGAACAGTTAGAGGTCTCTTGAGTCACTCACTGCTGATCACTTCAAAGAATAGATTTTATTTTATTATTTGAGATTATAATGTAATTATAGTACTTTTTACTTCCCTTTTCTTCAAACTTCCCATATAACCCTCTTAGTTCTTTCTCAAATTTATGGCATCATTTTCAGTAATTCTTAATACATTTATATTTTCATATAGATATTTACACTGTTCTGTTCTGTCTATATAAACTTACTTGTATGTGTGTTTCTGGGGTTGACTTTTGGCACTGAACAACCAGCTGATGTGCTCTTCTTTGGACAAGATCATGTCTCCTGCTACCAGCTTTCCTCAGTTGCTTTTAGTTCTTTGTGAAACGTTGAGACGTCATAGGCTTGTACCCATGAGTTTGTTCAGTTCATGTTTGAGCAGTCATATTAGTGAGATGTTTATGGGTACAGCTTTTGACAATATAAAGAGACACGCTATTACAGCAAACTCTTTATCTTCTGGTTCTTACAATATTTCTGCCCCCGCTTCCACAATATTCCCTGAGCTAGGTGCAAGTATGAATTTACTAAACCAGCATAATTCCTAACAACAATCTATAAATATTTGTCCCATTTCCCACAAATAAACGTAGTCTTCATACCTCATCAAGAAACCTTTCCCCAAAAGACAGAAATCACTTAAACTAACACACACACACACACACACACACACACACACACACACACCAATGTAGAGATGTACAGCCAAGTCCCAGGTACAGAGAGAAAATTATTTGACCAACATTGCCAACATAGTTAGAAAATTTCCTTCCTCACCAACAGTCTTCTTAAGATAAGATCAGTGACCAGCTACACAAAGTGATCTTACTGGTACAATGATGGCAAGGCCATTAACAGCAAACCAACTACTTTCTTATTGAATTTGATGCCCATTCCACAGAAAGTAATATTGTTGGCAGAGGTTTCTGTCACAACTGGTCCTACAGCTGTTAAGTCCCAAATAATACACAGAGGCATACATTAATTATAAATTGATTGGCCCAGTATCTCAGGCTCTTCTTATTAACTAATTATTATAACTTATTAGCCCATAATTCTTGTCTACGTTAGCCATGTGGCTCGGTACCTTATTTGGTGAGGCAGATACATCTTGCTTCCTCTACAGCTAGGTCATGACTGCAGACTGTGCATTCCTATTCCCAGATTTCTCCTGTTTCCATTGTCCCACCTCTACTTTCTTCATGGTTGCCCTGCCTATACTTACTGCCTGGCTACTAGCCAATCAGCATTTTATTAAAATTATGATTGACAGGGTACAAACCACTGACCCACAGCAAAATATAAATTCCTTATTACTGTAAAAATGGTTAAAAAAATAAATCCTGGATGGTAATAGGCTATAGCTAGAAATTTACTGCTGTTGTTTTGCTAAATGAACATAATATGCCTGTCATTTTTTCTAAATAGTTATGCTTATGCCCAAACAATGTTGTTTTGTTGCAACAAATTGACTCTATCATGAGGCAAATGTTTCTTTCCATAATTATCACTTTCAAAATCATTTATGTAAAACAGATGGCTCAAAAATCTCTACAAAGATAATTTTAATTCATTTAGAAAAATAACTACTGGATTTTTAAATAAAAAAAACACATTGATAGATTCAGTTGTGTAATTTTATTAGAAAAAGAAAATCTTCTTGGTTAAAAGCTAGCAGAATATGTGACAAATCATCCCATGATGAAATGATGAAAACTTAGGTACCCAGAGCATGCATTTCACATTCTTCCTCTTTTTACAAGAAATTCTCAAAAGAATAAATTGAATTTTTAGATCCAGAAGGAAGCAGAAAGCAAGACTTCAGTAAAATTGTATCAGAAACCTGGGAGGTAGATCCTCACCATCTAAGCAAGAGGCTTAGAATATATTAGGTTCATAATGGCCTAACTCTGACATCGCAGTTGGAGAAGGTTTAGAGTCTTCTGTGGTGTCTTCAGTAGTAATAGCCAAATCCAGATCCATAGCCAGAGCCACATCCATAGCCACAGCCACAGAGAGAGCGTGAGCCATAGCCATAGCCACAGCCATAGCCACAGCCCAGCCCACGGTAGCCACAGCCACTGTAGGAGCCATAGCCACAGCCCAGGCCTCCATAGCCATAACCCAGGCCTCCATAGCCACAGCAGCCATAGCCTCTGCCACCATAGTAGTTTCCGTAGTAGCCACACATGGTGCTGGTTCTTGAGGTTGGTCTTGGTAGAGAAGGAGTGTGAGTGACTTGTGTCTGGATACTTCTCCCTGAAGAGGTCCTTTTATATGCTCTCAGTCTGGGTGGAGCCCACCATGTACCCATGCTATTGACTAATTTTATGACTAATCTAATTATTCTGTTGTTTTTCAACCATGCAAATGCTTCACAGTCATTAAGGAAGCTTGCTTGGCTTGCTATCTCATGTGCGCATTCCTTATCTAGTTTAGGGTTTCAGTGAAGCAGCGCACATCCCATACTCTCATAGCTACACAATTCTGAAACAAATGACGCTTCCATTCTAGCCTTTGATGACGATGCTACGGGCAGAGGCAGCACTTTCCTGGTCAAAATATCATCTGCTTTGTATCTCCATTCCACAAAATTATACCTCCTTTTTTAATCAATTCTTCTTCACTCACATTGAAAATTCATTTTCTGCTCCAGGTTTCAATATCTTTCCTTTTCTGAAAGCAAACATATTTCTATCCCCTTGATGGTAATGGCAATACAACTAATAAGTATTTCAGAAAATCAACTCTAAGCTAAATGTATTGTTTTATTGTTATACAGCTGAGAATAATTCCATCTGAATTTGATTTCTATAAACCAAAAAGAAATTTTATTTATCACATGGGATCTTATTTCTCCACTTATTTTATACAAACAAAATCATGATGATTTAGTCAGTACTTTAATGAATATTGCAATGATATTTCATGTAAGGAACTATACAATGATTTATAGTTACCATCATGTATTTACATTGACCAAATTATTTAAGCATTCTTGCCTTATCAAGATTTGGCTTCAAATACTGAACTTTCACAGTTTTGTAATGAATCCTTACACCTGCAGTGTGTGTGATAATGCATCCTCTTACTGAAGGTAAAACAAAGCAAGGTTAGTTTTATATTTCAGTGGAACTCTGTGCTTTCATTGTATTAGAGACTAGGTCAGAAGTGAAATTGTCCTCATTGCAGCACGTCTACCTTCGTTAATGGAGAAAAAGAGTCAAAACGTCTCCCGTAAAGTATTTTGCTATTGTTCAAGTCAAACACATTTATTTATTCATTTGTGTGTGTATGTGTGAGTGTGCAGACATCGTGATGGTCTCATAATGATGTCCATGAAGGCCTCAGACATGTAATTATACCACCAGTAACTCCTAAGTACCAGGACTGCAGGACTTGTGCCATGATTCTCAAATAAATCTATGTTTTTGAATGTTCTTTGATTAAATAGGTGTTGTTATATTGATTTTGTAAAAAAAAACAAACATTATGACATTTTATCAGAAACATCATGATGTTTGAGAATTTTGAATTAGATGATATTATCATTATGTATTTTTCAGATTTCACATAGTGACCTCATTTATCACAATGTACTCAACCAAGCAATAGCTCAGAATACATTTTCAGGAAAAAAGATTATTTAAATGACATGGTGGTTTGTCTTTCTCTAGTCCAAGACTTTTAAAAAGTCTTGTCAAATAACATGGCTGAAATTCTTTAAGAAAATAATAAAAAGAAAAGTATACTTAACTTTTAAAATATTTGACTAAAGTAGTTGTAAAATTTTATTATAATGAAATAACATATTGGAATTGCAATACTGTAATGGAATAATCCCTTTGAGGAACTGTGTTTATTATGGAAATTTTACTTAATTTTATCTCCATAGAAACTTTCTCAGATTAATCTCTTCATTTTTAAAAAATTGAGTTTCTCTTCCTACCCAAACACAGCATTCACTCAAAAAGATTGCCCTCATTTTTTCCTATGGTGGTTTTCCAAACTCAATGGCTTTCTTAAGTATAGTTATTGATAATATTCTTTTAAAAGGAGCAAAATGGCTTCCTTTGGGCTTTTGAATCTTTCCCACAAATCTTAGTTTTATTTTATCTAATATTTAATAAAATTTCATGTTTTAATCTCTGTCTATTTCCATACATTGTGATTTTTTTATTTTGGTAGCCATATATTCTCCTGAAATTGCTAATATAGGATCATTAAGACTACTGTCTCAATAAATGTTAAGCCTAAGTTCTCTCCTTTTTTTCTTTTTTTTTTTTTTTTGAGTTTTGGGCATTCAGAATTACCCCCCCTCTTCTATTGCTGAGTGATGACCAACCATGTCTCTTCTCATAGCTTCACACATTTGCTTTAATTTCAATATTTTTTAACCTACTGCTCCTATTCAATTGTTCAGCATCACTTTTTATTCTTATTTTTCTTCCATGTTTTGCTCTCAGTTGTGATGGCAAATGCTTATCTTGGGGTTTCTATTACTGGGAAGAGACTCCATGACCATGGCAATTTCTTTCTTTCTTTCTTTTTTTTTTTTGAGTTTGGATATAGTTTATTCAGTAAAAGTTAGAGAGAGAGAGAGACAGAGAGACAGAGAGAGAGCGAGACAAAGAGAGACAGAGACAGAGAGGCACACAGGGAGAGACAGAAAGAGAGAGAGAGAGAGAGAGAGAGAGAGAGAGAGAGGAAGAGAGAAGAGGAAGAGAGAGAGGGGAAGAGAGAGAGAGAGAACAGAGGTAGGGGAGAGGAGAGGAGGCCACAACCACCTCTTCTGAAGAGAGAAGAGAGATGGGGCAGAACCATGGCAACTTTTATAAAGACAAAAAGCCATTTAATTGGGGTGGCTTACTTTTTCAGAGGTTTAGTCTAATATTATCACTACAATATTAGCATTGTAGTGTGCAGACAGACATGGAACTGGAGAAGGGGCTGAGAATCATACACTTCACCTGCAAGCAACAGGTATGAGATACTGGGTAAGGACCTCAAAGTCCACCCCTACAGTGACATGCTTCCTCCAACATGACCACATACTTCAACAAGGTCACACCTCCTAATATTGCCAGTCTCTATGAGTTTATTGGTGTTCATTACATTCAAACTATCACAGTGAACAACCAGGTAAGTGTTCTTCGATTCACTACATCACCTCCCTTTTCTTAGATATTTAATTTTCTTGCATTAATATGGCATCCCATTTCCAATACTTATCTGTAAATATCCATCTCCAAATGACCAATTGACATATCCATAGATTGGTGGTTACCTTAAAAAGTCAGCAATGACACCTCTAATATCCTGTAATTTTCCCAAAAAGTTTTTTTCCCATTTTCCTCTGCACCTTTAAAGTCATCAGCTTCTTTCTGGGATTATATACATCATGACTGAAAGGAAGACATTTTTAAAGATGAAAATTCTTTGGAGTTAAAATACATGCCAACATTATTGTTTATGTTAAGTAGAAATGAATTAACTTTGGCATCAGGAGCAAACAATTCACCAAATCAGGGGAAGAACTTTTGTAAAGGACATATTATTTTATATTCTTTGACTCATGACAATATTTTCTTGAGTATATTTGTAGTAAGAGAAAGTTTAGATGGCTTCAATACCAGTTAATTGCTGATGTGAAGTCAACAGNCTGAATGAAAGACATTTTTAAAGATGAAAATGCTTTGGAGTTGAAGTACATATCAGCATGATTATTTATGTTAACTAGAAATGGATTAACTTTGGCATCAGGAGCAAACAAGTCACCAAACAAGGGGAAGAATTTCTGTAAAGGACATATTATATTCCTTAGCTGATGACAATATTTTCTTGAGTATATTTGTAGTAAGAGAAAGTTTAGATGGCTTCAATACCAGTTAATTGCTGATGTGAAGTCAACAGTTGCTGTAGTTTCCCCATTTACACTCACTTGGTATACTAAGATATATGAGGTTGGAATTCTAGACGCTGATATAGCTTGATAACTGAACACTCTAATCCTGATACAGTAAAATTTAATGGTGATGGTGGTGTGGGCTTTGGATATGGATGTCTGGGATATGATTGTGGAGGCCTAGGCTATGGCTATGGATGCCTGGGATGTGACTTGGATAGTCAGGGCAATGGCCACAGTGACTGCTGACATGCCTACTGTCATCCTTGCTGCTATGGGAAGAACTGGTCTTCTCCCTTCTTTTGAGAAACACAGAGTTAATCATTTTGTTATGAGGCACTGTTTTCTTCCAGCATTACTAATTTCAAAGCTATAGTCTGCTCACATGGGGAAAGACAGTTGTGTCTTAGACTATGGTATACCAGTAGAACTTTTTACATGGAAATGATCTAGAGTTTCCATCAATGAAAGAAGCATTCTCTGGTACTGTATTTTCTATTGTATGATTGTTTTCAAACTTTCAATTGGTACAATACAGTATAACAAAGAAAATATATACAGCCTCATTTTGGCATGTCCAATGATTAACCGAAGACCACAGCAGAGTTATTCTTTCCTTCCAAGTAGATACTGCCACGAATTATTGTTTTTGTTACTTTCAATTACTGGAATCTGTAAAATGTTTTTTTCCTTACATTTTATATTTTTACTGGTGCCTGTCACTCTGAGAGAGTCAGCACCTTTGAACTTATGTATGTTGTCACTTGTGACACATGGTCTCTTTGCTGGCTCTTTCCACATTGCTATAGGGAAACGTAGAAATGTAGAAGCTTGTGTTCCTTTTGGTGATGCTTGAGAACCACTAGAAGGAAAGCTCTTCTGTTGTAATTAATTATACATAAATAAACATAGCTGAGCAGGAAAGCCACCTTGGTTAAGAAATCTGAAATTTAGAAACATAAAAGAAAATTAAAACTGTTTGTGAAAATACAATTGGCCTCACTGGGCAAAGAAATTATTGTATGTGTCATGAACAAATTCTGCCCAAGGAAGAATAAATTCAAATAAAATTTTAATACTGATATTAAAAAAAATATAGAATTCTTAGTTCTTTGATTAGTTTACCTTAAAGATAAGCTACCCTGGGTGTCTTTGAACTTGCAATCCTCCTTCCTCAGCCTTCTGAGTACCTCAGATTATTAGGTCTACAGCGAAGGCTAACAAAGGTCTTGTCAAAATGAAAATGCTAAATGCTTTATTTGACAAACTTAATGATAGCCAATCAGTTGACGAGTTATATTTCAAATGACATGTGGTGATAGCTTTGCACATATGAATGATCATAATTTTAAATCTCTAGTTAGAATAGATATTTCCCTAATGAAGAACAAAGGAACAAAATTGACACCATAAAATTTAAAGGAGTCATGTTCTTTAGAAGAAGCAGTAGAAATCGAGAAAGCTGGGCTAAAAAAGTGAATTTTCATTTCTAGATGTCTAATGCAGAAAATTTTACCAAAGGCCCCGGACATAAAATTCCTATAGTGCATGTTGTATGAACAGATACATTTTAATTCCTTTTGAGGATGAGGCATAGGCATTGTTTTGATGGGCAGATATGAACTCCCATTTTGCATTTTGGACATGCCCTGTGGCTTCCTTTTAATAGCAAACCATAGGTGACATGGTATATGTGATCATGTATGTGTGTAATTATATTATAAAGTATTCTTAGACTACAAATCTTTTTATAAGTTAGAAATGAAGATGAGAAAGCAATAGTTGATTTTGAGACAAGATGTATGTGACTATTTTGGAAATTATTATTTTAAATAATTCATACATAAAGTGCCTATATTTGAGAGTTACATAGTAGGACTAATAATTCCTCACTAATAGAAGGTAAAGTTGAGATTTACATAAACACATTTTCAGAACTAACATGGACATAGTAAAGAAATTGCCCTAGAAATAATAAGTGAAAATAATGTCTAAGAAAATAATCACTGTTTTTCATGGATGCTGAAACCAAACACTTCAATAAGACATTTTTGACATTAACAAATGAAATAAAAACTATGATTAATTTTATATTAATGATGTTTATTAGAGAAGAGATAAATGAGGACAAGAAGGAAAGCCACCAAGGCCTTTGGTCTGGTGACATCATTCTGAGAACCATAGAAGTGACAGAGGTCAGGTAAACTTTATTCCCTCCTTTATGAGCTACATCCAGGGAGGATGTGTCCTCTGTGTAAGTCACAGCATATCATGATAGGCTTCTTGGCAGTGTCATCTTCAGAGAAGAGGCTCAGTGCATGTGGAGTTCAGAACTAGGAGTCCAAAGTTACAATTGGAGCAGGTTAGAGTCTCCCATGGTATCTTCAATAGTAGCCGCCAAATCCAGATCCAAAGCCAGAGCCATATCCATAGCCACAGCCACAGAGAGAGCGTGAACCATAGCCATAGCCACAGCCATAGCCACAACCCAGTCCACGGTAGCCACAGCCACTGTAGGAGCCATAGCCACAGCCCAGACCTCCATAGCCATAGCCCAGGCCTCCATAGCCACAGCAGCCATAGCCTCTGCCTCCATAGTAGTTTCCGTAGTAGCCACACATGGTCTTGGTTGTTGAGGTTGTTCTTGGTAGAGAAGGAGTGTAAGAGAGTTGAGTCTGTATGGTTCTCCCTGCAGGGAGGGCCTTTTATATGCTCTCAGTGGGGGTGTGACCTGCCATGGATTCATGCTATTGGTCAATTTTGTGACTAATATTTTAATGTGCTGTTTAGATGCTTAAGGTGTTAGAGAAGCATTCTTTACAACCCATGGTTGCTTTAATCTGATTCTACAGCAATGTATAGAAAGCTGCAGTTCACACCAGGTATTTAGTTATAATCTTAAAACAAGCTGTATGGGAATAGGGAATGTTTTTAATAGAATAGTTGGCTTACTTTTAACCACTAAGTTTTATTTTAATCCTAGCCTCCACAATGGGCCCTGGGATAGTTTTTACTACTTGTATAGTCCAAGGTAAATTGTGGATTTCTTAGTGGCTCCTGAAAGAAGGAGGAATCTACAGGGTGGGAGGAAAGTTCCCCTACGTTTACCTGGCAGATATGGGAAGAAGTGTAATTTATTGTTTTCATCAACTTTTGTAAGAATTCAATTGAAGAGATGAGATTTAAACAAAATGAAAAGTCAAACAACTTCTATTCACTTGAGTTTCTATTCTTGTGCTTTTGTCTGTACTGCTGGCTAAATACAATGTCAAACATGGTTTTAGGAAAAATTAGCATTTCTGCTTTTGTTTTGTTGTTTAAATTTTTGAGAAAAATGTTTATTTACTTTATTTTGTGTGTATTTATTATTGTTTTCCATGGATGCATGTCTGTGCACCACTTGTGTGCATGGTGCCTATGAAGGCCAGAAGAGGATGTCATTTCTCCTTGTGTGTGTTTGGAATTGAACCTATGTCCTCTGGAAGAGCACCCAGTCTTCTTAACCAATAAGCAAACTCTCCAGTGTGTATACATGTGTGTGTGTGTGTGTGTGCATGAGTTTTACATGCTTGTGTTCATAGTGCACACAGGAAGGTCAGAGAACAAGTTGTAGAACTCACTTTTCTCCTACTAGTGAGTCCTGGGCATCAAATTCATGTAGTCAATTTTGGCAGCATCCTATTGACCCTTGATTAGTAGTTATAAATAAATAAATACCATCTACTTGATCTTAAAATTTTTACTGTAAATTTTCCAATAAAATAAATGTTTTTTATTTACAATGTACTTTGGAGAATCAGTAAATTTCTCTGTGTACGTAAATATAAATCACAAATAAACTTTTGTACTGACAATTACTAGAAATAATATAAAATTCATTTATTCTTCTGGAATTCCTAAGTTTACAATATTAGATAATGCCCACATTGGAATCTACAGTATACACTTAAAGAAAAAACATTATCTATGAGTAATTTTATTAAAATTCAAATGATGAAAGTAATGCATTTCTTGTACCAAGTTGTTCTGAGACTGCATACTATAGAGTGTACAATGTGCTTTGAACATTGCAGAACATAAACATGTGAACAAAGACCCAGGAAAATGTACCATAAAGACTCCAAAAAGTTGTTGCTTGCAAATTCCTAGAGAGTTGGTTTGTGGAAACAATTATATCTTGAACAAAGGAATAAAAGGAGTGAAAAAAATCAATGGAGAAAATGAAAAGCTCTTTTTATACTAAAATGGAAATCAGTAATTATGACAGAAACTTTTGAGTGGAATATTTAGTTGCAGACTCTAAAATACCAAAAATATTTGATGATTTAACAGATACTAACATACTCTCAAAGAGCCTCCACTATCTCTGTACCTGAATGTGGAAACTGGTGACTATATAATATACTCAATGAACAGAGAATGATAAAGATTAATGTCATCAGTACTGAGTGAACCTAATCTCACTTGTTTTGTGATATTGCAAATTGTGATAAGATTACAGTTGTACATAATAATAAGAAACAATACATGATTTGGACACACTCATGGAAAAACAACAAACACACACTTAATAGTCTAAGAGAATTAGAATAGTCTTTGAATAACTATCAAGCGCATACAACTTGGAAAGTCAAAGAACTGAACAGATTGCTCCCCTGGTCCTTATGTAAGGGATCTATAATCAAACACTCAACTACCCCCTGCCTTCCCTCCTCAGCAAATGCTCTTCTTTCATGGCAAACACACTTGCTTTGTTTACTGCCCATATCAACGGCAGCTTCTTCATATTATCTTTCAGCTGTTTAGATTTGACCTCCAAATGAGAGAATATCTTTTATAGTATATATGAATTCTTTGCAGTATCCATTCTCAATACTTGGGCTCTAGGCTTCTCATGCTCTTCCATCAGCCACAATTTTTAATCTCAATATCAGCTTTTAAATTTATGGTCTGGTTGACTATTTAACCCCAGACATGGCTGCTCCTTCACAAGCTGACCCTTCTGGATCTGACCTCATCTTTTTATACTGCTTTTCTAATTATTTGTAATACTGAAATCATATTAGCTTCTTTTAATATACAGTTTATATTGTTTTGTATTCATTATCAGTAGTGACGGACTTTAAAATGACATTTTCATATGAGTATATAATTTACTTTGAACATATTTCCCTCCACAAATATAACAATATTAATATTGTAATTTTCACTCTTGACTCTAATTTCTAAGGAATATAAAATTTAACACTCAGAGACAAGATTTAAGTTCATTTTATCTGAGTTGACCCCTAGGAGCTTTGTAAACTTAATGAAATTCACTGAGTTTTATTATCTTTATCCATAAAGAATAGAATTGGCCTAAATGATTATTACAGTCTTTCTCCTTGTCTCTTTTGTCTCAATTGTTACCTTTAGAGAACAGACACTGTTCTTCATATGTTTTGCCTTGATTTCATGTAACATTTTTGGCAATGGGAGACCCTTGGTGAAAAGTTGATGAGTAGGTGAATGAAGTAAGAACAAATGAAAGATTTTCTTTTGTTTTAGCTCTCTATGGAGGGCTGGAAATGTCTTAAATATCTAACAAGGAAGCTATACTTAGGAAATATCAAAAACATGGTTTCCCTGTGAGACAGTGCTAGGACAACACCAATGGATACATCAATATGGAGAGGGGAAATCTCCCATGCTCCCACCCACAGGTGAAAAGCTACAGACATTGAGTGCTGAGAGAGGAAGATTCAGTCTCCTATAGGGACCAGCTTGCTGTGGAGTTATCCAATGCCAGTGATCAGCCTAAACACTTACATATGCAGCCAACACTAAATACACCCAGAAGCTTGTATATATATATATCTGTGCATATACATACACACATAAAATAAAATAAAATATTAAAGAAAAAGAACTCATGAGAGGAAGTTGGTAAGCAGGAGGAGCTGAACAGGGGAAGGGGTAGGGTAAGCATATAGACACAGTACACATATAAATTCTTCAAAGGAAAGGCAAAGAATAGAGGAAAACACATTGATGGCCTGGAAGTCAATGGAAGTGAAGATGCAGGTGTCAGGAAATCCTTAGCTAAAACTGTGTACAAGTTCCCATTTTGATAGGAAATGAGGATTTCAATACCATATAAAATAAAGAAAAAGCAAGATGGAGGGGGGAGGGCCTTGGACTTCCCACAGGGCATGGTACCCTGCCCTCTCTTAAGGAGGGAGTGAGAGGAAGGAGGGTGAGTGGGGGAGCAGGAGGGGAATGGAGGAGGGGAGGAAGTGGAAATTTTTTGAATGGAAAAAAAATTAAAAAATTAAAAAAAAGAAAGGAAAAAAAAAGAAAAAGCAAGAAAGATATGGATGAAACTTAAGCCTAAAGTAGACAAAGGGAAGAACCACTCAGGCATTTCCTTCTGAGGAAATAGGCATCAAGGAGGATTAAGATTCTGTTCATTTTGATACATCTCTGCCTGCACATTGTAATGTGTACAGAAGGAAGTTATCAGCAGAAACATTTCTCAGATACACAAGGAATAGTCCTAACTAGAGGCATAAACAGGCTAACTTTAAGGAGCAACAGAATCTTATTGGAAAAGAAATCTTTTGATTTCTTCTCTGGCACCGTGTGTGGACTCTCAACAGTTTCCTATTTGGAGTTTTGAACAAGCCATCTGTGAACAGCAGAGATGCCTGTGGCCAATAGGCTCATGACCTCAGCTGTTAGAAATCCTGCCCATACTGTCTCGGACACATGGTCCGGATGTTTGTGGAGGGTGGACTTGTTCTTTCCTTTCATGGTAATGAGTTTGGAGGACTCTGTGGTTGGCCTCACATGCCATCCAGGCCGTATAAAAGGATCACACCTGCTTAGCAGACTCACACTCCAGAAGCTCCTGGTCTGCCTTGAGGAAACTCCCATTCTTGACAGCATGTGCTACGGAAACTACTTTGGTGGCCTGGGCTACGGCTCTGGCGTCCTGGGCTACGGCTCTGGCGTCCTGGGCTATGGCTATGGTGGCCTGGGTTATGGCTATGGTGGCCTGGGCTATGGCTATGGTGGACTAGGTGGACTAGGCTATGGAGGCTATGGCTGTGGCTGTGGCTCTCGATATGCATACAGCACCTATCGTCCATGCTGCTATGGAAGATTTTCTGGTTTCTATTAAGAATTTAGCCTAGCTGGCTCATTTTGGATCATTTTATTATAAAACTCCAGGGCACTAACATGTAAGAAAACTTATAATTTTACTTTTCAATAAAGCCTAAATTTCTTTAACATTATTTATTGTTTGTCATATGTTTTTATTCTTCTCTGTCATTTGTGTATAAATTGTGTGTGTGTGTGAGAGAGAGAGAGAGAGAGAGACAGAGAGAGACAGAGAGACAGAGAGAGAGAGACCTATTCTTGTGGTACTTTAATAAATGCTGTGACAGAAAAAAACACTTAGATATGGAGCCAATTTCTGATCTTTAATCCACTCCAGGGCTGTGGTTGGATTGACCCTTCTTTAAACAAGAGGCCTTATAGAGTTAAATACAGGAAGGTAAAACTGAATCTGTAATGCTTGCATGGTTTATTTCCCCTCTTCAAATGTGGTCCTGAACCTTCATAAAACTTCTGGTTTGAATTAATTTGCATAACCTGTCCAGTTTAATATAGTCAGAGGCAAGCATTTGACCACATAATCCCACATGGCTGAAAGTGAATGCATGCTGTTTGTACCCTTTGTAAAAGGAATGATGTGCAGGGCTTTTTTTTGGAGGGGAGATGTTGTATGTTTTAAATTTTTTTTAACCTGCATGTGTCTGTGTATGGGTACCATTAATGGAGGTCAGAAAGAGGGCTGAATGCCCTGAAGCTGGAGCTACAAGTGGTCATGAACCAGCCATTGTGGTGCTGGGAAGTGAGCTCAGGTCTTCTAGACAAGCAAGTAGTAAGTGCCCTTAACTTCTAAGCCATCTCTCCAGCTCCAAAACGGAGTAAATTAAAGAAGAAAAAACTATGTGTAAAATTCTCAGTTATTTATAAAAATGTAATATTTAGTATTTATAAAGATATCACAGTGTGTCTGTTCTAATGAGAGCTCACCAAATCCAGCTGGACCAGGACTGAATGAGCATGCCATCAAACCGGACTCTGAATGTGTCGGACAAGGAGGGCTGACTGAGAAGCCAAGGACAATGGCATTGGGTATTGATCCTACTGCATGTACTGGCTTTTTGGGCCCCTAGTCTATTTGGATGCAAAGCTTCCTAGGTCTGGATGTAGTGGGGGAGGGCCTTGGACTTCTGGGGTTCCCTGCTCTCTCTTAAGGAGGGAGGGTGAGGAAGGAGGGTGAGTGGGGGAACAGGAGGGGAATGGGAGGAGGCGAGGAAGTGTAAATTTTTTTAATTTATTTATTTCTTTATTAATTAAAGATTTCTGTCTCTTCCCCACCGCCGCCTCCCCTTTCCCTCTCCCTCCCCCAATCAAGTCCCCCTCCCTCGTCAGCCCAAAGAGCAATCAGGGTTCCCTGCCCTGTGGGAAGTCCAAGGACCACCCACCTCCATCCAGGTCTAGTAAGGTGAGCATCCAAACTGCCTAGGCTCCCACAAAACCAATAGGTGCAATAGGATCAAAAACCCATTGCCATTGTTCTTGGGGTCTCAGTAGTCCTCATTGTCCGCTATGTTCAGCGAGATCGGTTTTAACCCAGGCTTTTTCAGAACCAGGCCAGCTGGCCGTGGTGAGTTCCCGATAGGACATAAGTGTAAATTTTTGAATGGACAAAAAAAAAGATATCAGTGTGGTGGGTGATTTGATACGTTTAATCACGTTGAGATGTAATTTCCTGAATGAGCATGTAACATTAAGTTAGTAATACTTTTAGCTTTTGCAGACACATTTCTTTTTCATACTCAATTTTCTTTGATCCCCGAACTCCTAGTATAGAAACAGGTCTTTCAAAGCATGCTGAGAGCAGAAGCAAGATTTATTCTCTGCAGGTTAGAGGCAACCCGGAAAGATCCCCTCATTGTATGGCTGAGGCTCTGCAAGTTAAGTGAGTTAGTACTCTAAAGAGAAGACATTTTTCTGCTCATTACTTCTCTCAGAACAGATGTTGTGTGCCCTTGTCGACATCCAATTTTAACTCTCTTCCTTCATTGGTATTCTGAGGAGCATTTAAAAAATTCTCTGGAGAAAACAAAGAGGATCTGCAGGTGTTCCACCATCTTCTAGTGGAAACCTCCTGTCTTCCAAGGAATGACATTAAGGCCTTGAATCAGCCTTGTAATCAGGAGCAGAGAATTTCACAGATGTAAAAAAATTCATTAATAAAAAGAAAAGGAAGCATTGTTCAACATGGGCACTAGGTGTTTGTGCCCCGTTTCTTCCCTACAATTCCTTCCATGTACCCCAACTCTATTCCTCTCAAATGCATGGCTTCTTTTAATTTAATATAGATTAAATTTAATATAATTTAATATTAAATTATATATAAACATAGTATGCTTAATTTGATTAGTGTTGTTTTCAGGCATATGATTTCAGGTCTGATGACTTGGTGTAGGTGACTATTAGGGGTCTAATCCCAGGAAGACTGTCTATCCTGTTCTTAGTATTCCTTTATTGCCTATAGCTCTTTGTCTAGAGTTAGGACCCTATGAGATCTCCTCCTTCCATGCTAGCATTTTTATTGATGTCGCTTTTGACCAAAAGCCATATTGTTAAGGTATCGTGGGTGAAGCTTCCAGTTCCTTTCTAGGAGACACATTCTCACACATATTTCTAGCTCCTTTGGCTATATAATCTTTTTGCCTCTGTTCTGAAGTGTTCCCTGAGCCTTTGGCATAGGAGTTGTGTGTGTGTGTGTGTGTGTGTGTGTGTGTGTGTGTGTGTGTATGAAGCTGTTCTCTGCATTTGGACCGGTTGTAGTTTTCTGTAATGGTCTTCAAATTATGGTGGTTTATTAAGTGGCAGTAGTAGGTCCTCTTTTTAGGAATCATGACCTCATTAGCTGGTTAGGTTTCCAGTACTCCTATCTAGTGGTGTTAAGTCCAGTTAGACAGTCGTCGATTATGCCCAAGATATGAGTGCTGCTCTTGAACTCTTAAGGCTTTTATGCCATGCTGATAATTGTTGTGGTTCATAGCGGTCACTTCTGGGTAGGAAGTGTTGGTTGTTCCCTCCCTTGGCAGCTTCTACAGCAGATTCATGGACTATGAAAGTTAGTCTTCAGGGAAGAGTCTTTCCATTCAGACCTAGCTTGAATTGTCTGAGTCCTGTGTCCTAAGTGCATGGTTTTATTAGCCACGGGGACTTACTTTCAATTTCTAAGAGGTAGCCAAAAACAAGATCAATAATCTATATTGTTTGAGGGATATCTTGGATTCCTCTCACCAACTTAAAAGGGAGTTTCTCGTGCCTGATGTTTAGGATTTTGTTAGATAGTCTATGACTCTTAGGTGTATTATTGTCTAGCCAAATGGGGTAACAGCATTTAAACTAAATATGTGTATATGCACACATAACCTTCCATGGACTAGACGCAAATTTAGATGAATAAATAATAACAGGATTCCTATGACTTGTTCAAAGATATTGTCATTTTATCCTCTCCCTTCCTCTTCTTCTGTATTGACCTGCCATCTCCTAACCTTAACTGTTGAAAAATTAAAATGCTGACTAATTAAGAAAAATGATAATAATGGTACAATAAAGAATTTTTCTCCACAATCTGTTCCTCTGAAGCCAGAAGTTTATCGCTTTTTCTAAATTATTGTTAAAAATAATTTCACCAAATATTTGGCAAAATATAATCTGAATCTTTTTTCTACCCTTCAATGAGAGTTACTCTCTCTTTATGTCATTTTAACATAAGACTAATATAATACTTATGTATTATTATATACCTTTTGCGATAATTTCAGTGTGGCCAGTTTTGCTGAGGCAGAATTTCCAAAACACAGATGATTTCAACATCCAAATGATTATTTGTCCTTTATATGACTATGCGTGGTCTACTAAGCATTTGTCCTTGTCTATCATTCTGGAACCTAGGTAAAAGAACCACTCTTGAAGACATGTCATGAGAAAGCTGGATAAGCTGGATTGCTGGGAAATATCTGAGATACCTCACATGCATCTCTCTCTACATCACAGCTGCTCATCTCCTCCAAGCGAACATACTATCAGTGGAGCTGACAATTTACAATGCCTGTTAGGGAAGGATGAAAAAAAAAACCACTTGGGAACAATGAGTAAGTTATGCCGTCACTTCCTGTGCAACGGTAGATGCTGATCTTGTGATTGTTTTTTCTCCATACACTTTTGATATGGGAAGTGCTCTTTCTACAGCAGCTTCATTGATGTTCACTTAAGGAGCCTACCTTGCCATCTGAGCCTCTTGTGCACTCCACCCTGCTCTTGGCTTGCCATCAACTCTATTTTCCTTCTTCTACCTTCTCAGTCCTTTCTTTATTATTACTTGTGTTTTCATGGCTTGTTTAAGCACAGCTCCCTAGGGGAGTATTACATAAGACCCTTCAGGATACTGAGAAGAAAAGACCAATGTATTTTCCTCTGTGCTTAATGAGAAATGATGAAACAAGAAGAACAATACTGACTCCTACCCCAGAGTACTTGTCATGTGGAAATTTCTCTTCTATTGGCCTTAGCTACCATAAACTTGTTTAGTTCTCTTTCTCACAGCACAGGAACAAGTTTCAATATCATTTTTTATTACACAGACATTAGGGACAAGTTAAATCAACAATGACCCAGTAATCATATGGGTCAGGATTGCAGTTCTTTACTGGTAGGCTAAGCTACATCTATGCTTATATCTTCTGAGATTTTTGTCCAGACAGCTTGGCCTCCAGTGGACACTCTCATACATCTAGGTCTCATTTATTTCCATCATCTAGCAACTTGTCATGTTTTCTGATACCTGTCACTTGCCATCAACATGATCCCTAACTCAAAGTCTTTGAAAGCTATGGTACCGGGTTTCATATCCTTACATTCATCATATAGACAACCAATTTAAACACAAGAGCTTCAAAACTCCTCTATCACCTCATCCCCTTTGCTCTACTTTAAGATGTCATTCTAATCCGCGCTCACCATGAAATACTGCAATTCCCTGAAGCTAATGCTCAGACCCCTAAACCTCCAATCTTCTGG